AAGATATACAGATGGAAAATAAGCACATGAAAAATGTTCACTATCATTAGCCATTCAGAAAACACAAATTAAAACCATAGTGAGATATCACTACACACTTGTCAGAGCAGCGAATTTTTTTTATCCAAAATAGTGACAACACCAAATGCTGACAAAGATGAGGTGAAACTGGATCACTCATACACTGCTGATGGAAATGTAAAATGGTACTGCTACAGTTTGACAGCTTCATCAAAAACTAAATATGGGGCCGGGCGCGGTGGCTCAAGCCTGTAATCCCAGCACTTTGGGAGGCCGAGGCGGTTGGATCATGAGGTCAACAGATCGAGACCATCCTGGTCAACATGGTGAAACCCCGTCTCTACTAAAAATTACAAAAAATTAGCTGGGCACGGTGGCGCGTGCCTGTAGTCCCAGCTACTTGGGAGGCTGAGGCAGGAGAATTGCCTGAACCCAGGGGGCGGAGGTTGCGGTGAGCCGAGATTGCACCATTGCACTCCAGCCTGGGTAACAAGAGCGAAACTCCGTCTCAAAAAAAAAAAAAAAAAATTAAAAAAACTAAATATGCAGCTACCACACGACTCAGCATTCATACTCCTGGTCATTTATCATAAAGAAATGAAGATTTAACATTACACAAAATCTGTACAGAAATGTTTATGAAGCTTTATTCAGAGCAGCCCAACACTGGAAACAACCCAATTGTCATTTACTGAGTGGTAAAGCAAACTGCAGTACACCCATCCCATAGAATAAACTACTAATAAATGCAACAGCCTAAATGAAACTCAAAAGGATTAAGCTGAGGGACAATAATTCCCCCCCAAATCATGTACTATATGATTCCATATATGTAAAAAAATTACTGAAATGGCAAAAATTGGAAAACAGATTAGATGAAGCGAAGGGAGTAGGGAAGTGGGTATGTCTATAAAACGGCAACATGAGAGGTTCTCAAGGTGAGAGAAATGTTCTATGTCTTGACTATATCAATGTCAATGGTTGTGATATCATATTACAATTTTGTAAGATGTTACTGTTGGAGGAGACTGGGTTAACTGTACATGAGATCTCTCCATTATTTCTTATAACTATACATTGTACATTCATCTCAAAATAAAAAGTTTAATATAAAAAACTCAGAATGAATGGGGGGATATGGGTGTGTTTGCTATCTCGAGTGTAATGATTTAACATGTACATATACATACATCAAAACTCTTCAAACTGTACACTTTATATGCATTTTTTGCATGTCAGTTACTCCTCAACAAAATAAGGGGTGGGGTATTTGGGAGCGAATACAGTATGTCTCTTCCTCTTCCCTTTCCAAATAATTAAATCTTATAGCCATTAGTTAAGCCAAGCAAAATAGTCATTTAAACCTAAAGAGGAGGAGGGAATAGTTAGGAGCTGTTGTAGTGTCCTAGAGCAGAGTGTAAGAGCCCAAGCAGGGTAAACAGGGGTTTATCATAGAAAGGTTGCCTGGTTCCAGGTTTTGGATATCCAGTGGGTTGAGAAGGTTATCTACATAACACAGCTGCTGAGCACATAGAGGTTTAAGCCCAAGTGGGTAGAAGAGGACAGCCATACCTGAAAAACTGTGGTGGCGATGAGAGATTGCTTGCAGATAGAAGCACTGATTGAATACAAAAATATATTGAAGATAATGGGAACCAGATTTCTCATTGTTGGAGAAATAAGTTACCAACATGGAAAGGAGGAAAACTAGAATAAATCCTGTAGTGTTAAATTACAACTAGAGGTACTTGTATAAATTTTTTATTTCCAAGATACATAGATATGTAGAGAAATAGACTGAGATTTAAATGTGTGAACATATGTGTTTACTAGCTCTGTCCATTGAGAAGGCCTAAAACCAACAATACCCTAATATTAATAATAATGAACATAAGTAGCACCCAGACCTTGACTTCTAAATACCATTCTCCAATAAAGAAACAAGGAGTACTAACAGAAATGGCTGAACCTAGGACCGATACAGCAAAAGTATACAATGAGCCTGAAATATCTTTTTGTATCAGAAAGTAAGAAATAACAGAGATATATAAAAAGAATACAGAAGTCAAATTGAAGTAACTAGCTAAATCTATGACAATTTGGGCACCAAAATAAATATTGATAGTAACAGACTAAATTGGATTCAGTAAGGAAACAAGACTCTATATTGATATAAAGTAAGTCAATAGACAGAAAATTTTATGTGGAATTGCATTTTTGCTTTTGAATGGGATATTTAGCCTTAAGAATATTTTAATTTTGCCTCAGATTGTGAACATATATTACTATGTAATTAAAAATGTACTTCAAAATACAGCTGAAGACTTGAAGGATCTTTAAGTTTATTAGGGGGAAGTGTAGGGAACAGTGAGAATTCTAGGATTTCTCTGCCCAGCATATATTTTCACCTCATCCACATATTAGTAGACTAGCTATGGAGAAAATTCAGAGAGACGTATAGAATGGCTGTTCTGTTTCTGGCTTGGGTGTCCTGGTGCTACTAATTGATAATAGGAATATCAGAGGAAGAGCAGCTTGGTGACAGAAGATGGCAATGGTTCAGTTCATAAGATTTTACCTTGAGGATATTTAGCAACCAGTTGGTTTCACTGTCTTAAAATTCAAAGAATTAATGTGCTAAAATAGTTAACTACACGAGGTGATAGCTTACCTAAGGAAACTGAAAAAAGAAGAGTACTAGGCCAAGGGCCATAAGAAAATAAACATTTAGAAAAAAGCTTTCTGCTGTTTATAATAGGATAGTTTATAAGCAAGTACAATGGTGAACAAACATGGTAAGCAGAATATTTTTTAAATGTTTTAATTAGCAATTACTCAAATGTCAACAAAAAGTAAAATTAACAGATATTTCTCAAAAGAAGACATAGGAGCTGCCAAACATGAAAGAAATTACTAATCATCAGAGAAATGCAAATCGATGCCACAATAAGATACCATCTCATACCAGTCAGAATGGCAACTAAGAAGTCAAAAAACGACAGATGCTGGTGGTGCTGCAGGAAAAAAGAAATGTTTACACACTGCTGTCGGGAATGTAAATAACTTCAGCCACTGTGGAAAGCAATTTGGAAATTTCGCAAAGAACTCAGAACCCCCATTCTACCCAGCAATCTCATTCTAGGTATATACCCCAAATTAGTCACTCTCCCAAAAAGACACATGTACTCATATGGTCATTGCAGCACTATTCACAATAGCAAACGCATAGAATCAACCGAGGTGCCCATCAACGGTAGTGAATAAAGTCATTGTGGTACATATATACCATGGAATCCTATGCTCCATAAAAAACAAGGAAATCATGTCCTCTGCAGCAATATGGTTGCAGCTGGAAGCCAATATATTTGGCAAATTAAAGCAGTAACAGAAAATTAAATGTTGCATGTTCTCACATACAGTGGGAATTAAACGTTGGGTACTCATGGACATAAAGATGGCAACAATAGACACTAGGGACTACTAGAGGGGGGCAAGAGGTGGAAAGCAATGAAAAACTACTGAGTATTATGGGCAGTTTTTGGGTGACAAGATCATTTGTATCCGACACCTTGGCATCACGCAATATGCCCAGGTAATAAACCTGCATAGGTACCCCCTGAATCTAAAATAAAAGTTGAAATTATATTTTAAAAAAACTAGAAACTATTCAAACATCAAGTAAAAATATTTCTACCATTTTACTTTAAAAAGTAAAATTAATATTCTACCATTTATGATGTAAGAAGATTATGAAAGTTTGTAATCACAAAAATGTATATGATTGTGTGTTTTTCTTTTTAAGTATTTATTAAAGCTATGTAAAAAAAATTTTCATAGCAAAATCTGGAAATAAGCACCAAAATGCTAAGTATAATTGTTTTAAGGATGGAAATCTACGGGGTTCTTCCTTCTACTTTTCCATATCTTTCAAATTTGCTATACAGATGCTTCTTGACTTACAAAGGGGTCACATGTGATTAAACCCATCATAAGTTAAAAATACCATAAGTAGAACCATCAAGTCAGGGACTGTCAGTATACTACTTTCGAAAAAGACAAACATTCACAAAAAGGATTCCCTCCCACCTCTTATGAAGGCAAACATGGCGATATTCCTAACAAGAAACACAGACACGTAGTAGGCTGTCGATAAATGCATGAATATATTAATATTTGTGTAATTAAAGACAGTTACCTGAGATTTTCTGTCCTGCAAAAGCCTGCAGCCCTCTCTGCTGGGGAACCTCCTGTCTTCCTGTCCTGGATCTTGAAAGGCATGACAAATGGTTGCCTACACTCTCAGGAGAACACGTAATCTCCGTCCATTGGCACTGCGCCTTGGTAGTCCTTTACCTGGGGTTCCCACCCACCGTTCCTAATGGACTCACTTCTGGGTCCCTGGGCGAAGGGGATTAAAGCACTTGTTGACGCCTCTGAAAAACAACAAATGTAGAGAGAGCATCCTTCTTCCAGTTACGGATCCTACAGAGAGGGATGATGATCTCTTAATGTTATGTATGGACCAGCATTTGGCATTTTACCCTGTCCTTCTGTCCAGCGCAGGCATTTCCTCTGGGGTCTCTAGTGTCTGACAAAGCCCATGCTGTAACTGCATCAGAGACCTTGGCCCGTTCCTTAACTTTGGCCCTTAACCGAACGAAGCTCTTTACTAGTTCATTGCAGTACTCAGGCCAACGCTACTAGCAGAGATTAGTATCTCCCCACAAAATACGAGAAATCTGGCGGGGCGCGGTGGCTCAAGCCTGTAATCCCAGCACTTTGGGAGGCTGAGGCGGGTGGATCACGAGGTCAAGAGACCGAGACCATCCTGGCCAACATGGTGAAACCCCGTCTCTACTAAAAATACAAAAAATTAGCTGGGCATGGTGGCGCTTGCCTGTAATCCCAGCTACTCAGGAGGCTGAGGCAGGAGAATTGCCTGAACCCAGGAGGCGGAGGTTGCGGTGAGCGGAGATCGCGCCATTGCACTCCAGCCTGGGTAACAAGAGCGAAACTCCATCTCAAAAAAAAAAAAAAACCGAGAAATCTGAGATTCAGATTAGATTACTCATACAAAGCCAGGCAGCCAATGCAAAGTGAAGCCTTAATGAGCTGTCAGTGTTGTTACTCTAATTCTCTCCACCGAGTTCCATCGAGTATCCTTGCAGCGCCGCCCTCAGGACTCCGAGCAGTTTCCGAGGCGTTGGAGTTGGGCTGGGGATCCCGGGTCGCGAGACGCGCGGGCCCTTAAGCTGAAAATGGCGGACGAAGGGAAGGATACTTCAGTCAGGGTAGGGAGGAAGGGCACTCGGTGACCAGAAACCTTTTCCAGGACCATATTGTTAAAGCAAATCTCAGCTCTTGTCTTCGGGAAACGATGGAGACAGAATCCAGAAGCCTGAGGTGAGATTCGTGGCCTACACCGCTGCGGTGAGGAGGCCCAACAGCGGTTCCAGGAAGGCCGGGTCCCTGGAAGGCTGGGTCCCTGGAAGGCCGGGTCCCTGGAAGGCCGGGTCCCTGGATAAAGCCTCGCCCCTGGGCGTGGCCCCACCCCCCAGGCAGGGTTAAGCTCGCTGGGTGGTGCCTCGCGTCTGAAATCTTTCCTATCAAATATGTATTTACAATCCAGTTGTTTGGAATTCAATTTGTGATTTCTGGTAGAAGGAATGTTATATATGGGGAACAGGTTCTCACAAAACTTTTTTTTTTTTTTTTTTTTTTGAGACAAGTTTTGCTCTGTTGCTAAGGCTGGAGTGCAATTGTGCGACCTCAGCTCATTGCAACCTCTGCCTCCCAGGTTCAAGCGATTCATGCCTCCTGGGTTCAGGCAATTCTCCTGCCTCAGCCTCCCGTGTAGCTGGGATTACAGGCACGTGCCACCAAGCCCAGCTAATTTTTTGTATTTTTAGTAGAGACGGGGTTTCACCATGTTGACCAGGATGGTCTCGGTCTCTTGACCTCGTGATCCACCCGCCTCGGCCTCCCAAAGTGCTGGGATTACAGGCTTGAGCCACCGAGCCCGGCCTCCCAAAAACTTTTTAACCCATAATGTAGCCTATAATATAAAGTATTACATTAGGGGGGGAAAAAAAACCCTTTGTGTTATAAAATGCAAACCTGTCTGCCATTTTATAGGAGCCTAGGAATATGAGCCCAAAGAATGAAGGAATGAGAAGAAGGGGAAAAAAAGTTACTTCTCGCATTACTGGTAAGGTTATCCCAAGCAACAACTTGAAAGAGACAAAGTTGGTTTGGTACCCTCTTCTAGAAACTCATCTATATTTTTTTTCCTCACTTTCTCATAGTCACCTTGCAAGTCCTCGCAGTTTCATGTTTTCCTAAACTGTTTTATTATGAAACTGTCCTTTTTCATTATCAAGTATGGGATGCTTCACTCATCTTAATCAAAATGCATTGTTGTCATCATAAGGAATTCCAGATCATCAAAATAATTTGCAATAAGGTATGAATGACCTCATAGGCATTTCAGGCTATTTGCACCTTAAAGTAGCATGGAAATCAGCCCCAAAGAATCTTTTCGTTTCATTTGTTCATTTCAGGCAATATGATAAAACTGAAAAATTTTACAAATGTCAGGAAAACAAGCTCTAGTGTCTGGGACCCAACTCATACACCTTCCCAGCTTGTAGCTATGCTCCTGAAGTAAATGTTCTGACTTTTCACATATTATTCTTTTACTAAAAGCTCTGCATTGCAGAGAAGATATCCCTGGAACTTCAGTATCCAGAAATCCTTTAGTGAAGCTGCTCCCTTCACTAGGTTCCTCTGTTTAAAAGTGTTGTTAGTACGTGGGGTAATTGTAAGCCCAAGAACGAATCAAAAAATAAAGGGGAACTCTGAGATCTAAATTTAAGTCTCAGAAAATGCTAGCCATAACTTTCATAATTGTTTTGGGCAAAACTTTTTTTAAAATTTGTAATAGAGCAAGCTAGGAAATGGGGCACTTTGAACTGAATTACTAATTAGATTTTCATGGGTCCTAAAACTGGCTAGATGGGTTGTGAAAGTTTTGGGTTCAGTTTCGAAGACCACAGCATAACACAAAGCAGTGTTTCTTAAAGCGTGGTCCATAAATCACTCCTGTCCTCTGGTGGCTTTGGGACAAATAGTTTATGAATTTCAGAAGAAAAAGAAAACTTAAAAGCCTTCATTCACAAATATTTAACACACTTAAAACATAAGATTAAATGTAATTCTCACTGAAGTATGCTATGGTTTTAATAGTCATTAGCATCCTGAAAGTGGCCTACATGCTGCAAGAACTCTGCTTATCAGGTCTCTGCTTCCATTCAGTTAATGGGATGCAGTGCACTTAGGTCAACTTATTTTCACATTATTAGCATGTTACCATTTGCATTTGTTACATTTGACTTTTTGCATTGTCACTCTTGGAATTTATCATTCAATTTCTAATTTTATAAAAAGAGCAATCGCACAAAAGTAGTTTATGAAAACATAAAGACAGTTATAAAAGTATTGACATAAATATACCACCACTATAATCATCTTTAGTGACCAGGATTCAGAATGAATTTAGAATGTGATTATGTGTATGCTTAGACAAGAGAAAAACAGCTAGAAGCTGTTTATATATTAAAGTGAAAATAGGAAATCCAAATATAAACACAGAAACAGTTTATTTAATAAGGCCAATGATCATTTTGACCCTAGTATGTAGTAAATTGCCTTTTATAAAACTTGATTAAATAGTGGCATGAGACCATCAGAGCTTTGCATGCAAGTACTATGTACTTCTCAGGCTTTAAAAATGATATTTTTCTATAGAAATACTTAAATAATAATTAATTGCTGGATTTTATTGCCAACACAAGTGGAAATATAAAACTACCAAGGCATGATTTACAAGTTTACATTCCTTGCAACAAAAGGAGCCCCCTCCTTTGAGTCCCCTTAGGAATCCCGTTGTCCTAAAACGCCCAGTGGATGCCTAACACCAGAGCACGGAAGTCTACGTATACTATGTTTTTTCTTTTTCTTTTCTTTTCTTTTTTTTTTTTTTTTTTTTTGAGACGGAGTTTCGCTGTTGTTACCCAGGCTGAAGTGCAGTGGCGCGATGTCGGCTCACCACAACCTCCGCCTCCTGGGTTCAGGCAATTCTCCTGCCTCAGCCTTCCGAATAGCTGGGATTACAGGCACGCGCCACCATGCCCAGCTAATTTTTTGTATCTTCAGTAGAGACGGGGTTTCACCATTTCGACCTGGATGGTCTCGATGTCTTGACCTCGTGATCCACCCACCTCGGCCTCCCAAAGTGCTGGGATTACAGGCGTGAGCCACCGCGCCCGGCCTACTATGTTTTTTCTTAGTCTGATAACTGAGATGGCTTCTAGGTGACTAATGGGTGAGTGGCATAGACAGTGTGGATACACTGGACAAAGGGACGATCCATGTACCAGGTAAGACAGAACAAAATGGCACAAAATTACATCACATAACTCAGAATGTCATTCAATTTGCAACTCATGAATTGTTTATTTCTGGAATTTTCCATTGACTATTTTTGGACCATGGTTGATCACAGGATACTGAAATTGCAGAAAGTCAAACCTCAGATTAGGGGTACTATTGTATAGGTGCAAGTCATACTTTTTCTAAGTAAGCTGGTAAAACTAGCTTCAAAGTTAATAACAAATAGTGAGTTTAGAATGAAAGCATAATAATCATTGGCTAAACTTCCCTATCATAGGACAGTTGTATATCATGGACTATTAAATGAATACAATGTGTGTGTTCTGGGAGATATTTTGCTTTTCAATCGGCAAAATCATTGGTATGTTAGATCTGAATCAGGTCTTGACTAATATGTGGAATGTACATTGATGAAAAGTGATTTTTTTTCCTGCTAATTATTCAAAATGCATGATAGAGGAAATTTTCAGTCTGTCATTGGTGTTTTCCTGCAGCATGATGTGTGTCAGGAAAAGAGTATTACTAACATTACTGTTAGTATTACTGTTACTAGTTGGGCATTAGGCATGTATAGAGCAACAGAAGCACTGCCACATGGTAATGGACTTTGCCACAGACTGCCACTCTACATATTTTGCTATAACAGAATGGCTGGTGATGAGCAATATGCCTACCAATCTTTTAAAAATTATTTGTTTATTTACTTTTATTTCATTCAGTTTTTGGTGAACAGATGGTGTTTGCTTACATGAATACATGGTGATTTCTGAGATTTTGGTGCACCCATCACCTGAGCAGTATACGCTGGACTCAATGTGTAGTCTTTTATCCCTCATGCCCCGCCTACCTTTTCCCCAGAGTCCACAAAGTCCAATGTCAAATTCTTACACCTTTGCGTCTTCATAGCTTAGATTCCACTTATGAGTGAGAATGTAAGATGTTTGGTTTTCCATTCCTGAGTTACTTCACTTAGAATAATGATCCATCCAGGTTACTGTAAATGCCTTTATTTTGTTCCTTTTTATGTCTGAGTAGTATCTGTGCTATATATACCCAAAACTTCTTTACCCACTCATTGATTGATGGGCATTAGGGCTGGTTCCATTATTTTTGCAGTTATGAATTGTTCTGCTATAAATATGTAATGTGTGAGTATCTTTTATTTTTCTGTGGTATCAGTTATAATACCTCCCGTTTCATTTCTAATTAAGCTTATTTGGATCTTCTCTCTTCTTTTCATGGTTAATCTTGGTAATGGTCTATCAATTTTATTTATCTTTTCCACGAACCAGATTTTTGTTTCATCTTTTGTATTTTGTTTTCTGTTTCAGTTTGTTTTAGTTCTGCTCCAATCTTTGTTATTTCCTTTAATAATGACTTCTTTTCCTCTGAGTAGATACCCCCAGTAATGGGACTGCTGGACCAAATGATAGTTCTACTTTTGTTCATTAAGGAATCTCCACACAATTTTCCACAGTAGTTGTACTAGTTTGCATTCCCACCAGCAGTGTAAAGATGTTCCCTTTTCACCACATCCATGCCAACATATATTACCTTGTAACTTTTTAAGTATGATCATTCTTGCAGGAATGACATCATATTGCATTGTGGTTTTTATTTGCATTTCCCTGATAATTAGTGATGTTGAGCATTTTATTCATATATGTTGGCCTTTGTGTATCTTCTTTTGAGAATTGTCTGTTTATGTCCTTAGCTTTGATGGGATTGTTTGTATTTTTCTTGCTTATTTACTTGAGTTCTTTGTAGATTCTGGATATTAGTCCTTTGTCAAATGTATAGATTGTGAAGATTTTCTCCCACTATGTGGCTGATCTGTTTACTCTGCTGTTCCTTTTGCTGTGCAGAATCTTTTTAGTTTAATTAAATCCCTTCTATATATCTTTGTTTTTGTTGCATTTTCTTTTTGGTTTTTGGTCATGACGTCTTTGCCTAAGCCAATGTCTAGAAAAGTTTTTTGATATTATCTTCTAGAATGTTTATGGTTTCATGTCTTAGATGTAAGTTCTTGATTCAGCTGGAGTTGATTTTTATATAAGGTGAGAGATGAGGATCCAGTTTCATTCTTTTACATATGGCTTGCCAGTTACCCCAGCACAATTTATTGAACAGGGCTTTTTCCCCCCACTTTATGTTTTGGTTTGCAATGTCAAAAATCAGTTGGTTGTAGGTATTTGGCTTTATTTCTGGGTTCTCAATTCTGCCATTGGTCTATGTGCTAATTGATATACCAGTACCATACTGCTTTGGTGACCATGGCCTTATAGTATAATTTGGCCTTAGAGTATAGTTAATGCCTCCAGATTCATTCTTTCTGTTCAGTCTTGCTTCAGTGATGTGGACTCTTTTGGTTCTGCATTAATTTTAGGATTGTTTTTTCTAATTCTGTGAAGAATGATGATATTTTGATGGGAATTGCATTGAAGTTGTAGATTGCTTTTGGCAGTATGGTAAGTATCACAATATTGATTCTATCCATCCATGAGCATGGGATGTTTTTCCATTTGTTTGTGTTTTTTATGTTTTTTTTCATCAATGTTTTGGACCTTTTTTGTTGGAAATTTTTAAATTACTGTTTAAGTCTCACTGCTTGTTATTGGTCTGTTGAGAGTTTTTATTTCTTCCTGGTTTAATCTAAGAGGACTTTATGTTTCCAGGAATGTATCTGTCTCCTCTAGGGTTTCTAGTTTATGTGTATAAAGGTGTTCATAGTAGCCTTGAATGATCTTTCTTTTATTT